CATAGTTTTAGTTTAGTTTTCTTTTTAGTGTACACATTGATGAGTTTTTGCTAATTGCTGGCTTGACTGCCAGCCACTCAGGAAGAGGCTGAGGCAGGAGGACTGCGGTTCAAGGATGGCCTGCACGACTTGGTTCCCCCCTGCCGTTTTCTGCTCTTAGCACCCAGTCCTCCAGTGTGAATGATCTAAACTTAAAGTGGCAGGCACACAACCTTTCTGTCTGTCTTCTTCCTTTTCGGGGTTCATCTGTACCCTGGCAGGCACCGGCTTCAGTATCGTTCATTGCTGCGAAGCATTCCAATGAGTGCTTATACTTTTGATATTGGAGGAATGTAACTCCCAACCTGCTAGATGTCCTCAAGACAGAGTTCGCGTTCTCACCAATCGAAGAATGAATTCTAAGCACAACCGAAGTTAAGAGTAGGAAGAATTTATTGAGAGAAGGAAAGATTTTGTCTGAGAGGGTCAGAAGAGGGCCAGGAAAGTGGGTTACCCACCAACCACATTTCTTTGTTTATGGAGCAAAGCTGTGAGGTGAGGTGGGTTTTAAGGTGGGACAGAACTACAGCCAATCAGTAAGCTTACAAGTAGAGGAGCTTAGGTAATATTGGTCCAGTGAGGGACCACAAGGTAGGCAGGAGGTGACCCCAGACTGTGGTGAAGATTACAAGGGTAGTCCCTTGTAAATGCAGACGCAATGGGGAAACAAGTCAAGTAGCAAGTGTACATGGGAGCGACAAGGGCCCTTCTGGAAGGGTTTGGTTAGGCTTGGTCCTCCACCCCAAGGTGACTGAAGCCTACTTTGAATATCAATCGCTGCTGTTTATCCCCAAAGGAAGGAAGTATCTGGGTGAGTCATTCTTTTTCCTGAAGCCTGGTCTTAAATTGCCTTGTATACTGACCTCTGGAGGGCCCAGCCCTGTCTGAATGCCTATTTTACCTTTTTTTTTTTTTTCCTTGTATTTGTTTGGTTTTGTTTATGTATTTGGTACAGAGTCTCACTAAGCAGCTCAGACTCCTAGTGATAGCTGTTTTCAGCCTCCCCAGTGCTGGGATTACAGGCGTGCACCACCACGGCGGGTCTCCGTGGCCTGCTCAGTGCCCTAACAGTGCGGTATGTGGTGCCTGGGATTGAACCCTGGTGAGCTATCTTGCCAGCCCTCTATTTCACGTTGTTGATGGAGATATCTGAGTTATTTCCAACTTGGAGCTTTGAATGAAGCTGCTGTAAACGTAACTGTGTCTTTGTGGGAATGCTTCATTCTCAGAGGGAATTTAAGCAGTGGTTTGCGGTCATCAGTCTAAACCCTTCTAGAGTGGCTGAAATAGAATCTCATTCTAATTTTGCAGTTTTACTACTGATAAGGAAGGTTTTGGGTTGTTTTTTTTTTTTAAATTTTTATTTGTGTGTGTGTGTGTGTGTGTGTGTGTGTGTGTGTGTGTGTGGCCAGCTCAGCCCACCAGGGGGCTGGCTGGCATGTGGTGCTG